CCGCGAAGGACGAAAATCTGAGGCATCCACAAATCTCAGAGACTATTAAGGCTAGAGTAACCAAATTTGGTATCCACACTCTTGTTTGATCTCACTATAAAAAGTATATCTCAAAATTTGGCCCTGCCCCTTTCCGCCCCCTTAAAGGACGAAAATCTGTGGCATACACAATATTAAAGATTCGAGAAAACTAAAAACGCACAATCGACCAGAGAACGACCATATCTACCAGATTGCCGAATCTGGATCAGATCGGATAATTTTTATACCCAAACGAAACAAATAAATTTTCAGTGGCTACGCAGCGCCCGACGACACGTTCAGACACGTTTTCTGTCTCTCTCCCACGCACTCTTTGTCGCTCAATGTAGCCACGCTGACTATGTATCGGGTATAAATGTAGAGTTGCGGGGGCAGCAGCAACTCACAACGTTTTCCCTCGTTTTTTATAGATTTACTAGGTGACCCGGCAAACGTTGTATATTATTTCTAGGAAAAATTTTTTCAGTTCAGTGCAAATAATTATATACTATAAGTATGGGAGGATTTAAGTATCAATTATAATATTACTTAAGAGTAAAGATTGAATTGATTGTGCGAATTAACTTCAAAAACATGCTAGAATCTGGATCTGTACCGGCAAGTAAACTATGGTGAACTATGGTTCAGGTGGTGTCTCAATTTTTGTTGTTTGTACTGTTCCTGATGAACAACGCACCCCAACTGGCTCATTTTTAAATTTGAGTACATGACAATGCGGGCATTCCTTTTCCAAAGTACCAATAATCACTTTAGAATAAACGTAATATTTAAAATCAGGCTCCTAGTGGAATGCTAGTCGAAAAAATAAATTGTATGTATGGTCTACGTCTTTCGATTATGTATCTGCGCGTTACTCTCCGTTCATTTGCCTTTGTTGATTTCGCTCATTTCGGACCTCTTGCGATTGTGATTCACGTAACAGCGCCAGCTCACCTGAAATTTTTAATTTTATATCTCGCATTTTTCCAGACTTGATCGTTTGACGACTGAAATTGGCCCCTCTGCGTCTTAGTGGCATTGCTCAAATATATTGAATTCTCGGGTTACAATGTTTGTTATTGAACTTCTCCGAAATGACTCGACCGATTTTCTTGAAATTTTATGTGCTTTCGATTAACATTCTTTTAGATGTTTTCGCTTCCAATATTCAAACCCCAGGACCAAATTTTTGTTTCGGCCTACTGGGATTTCATATGTGTAAGAAAAACTTGTATTCAATTTAATATTTTTCTTTGAATTTTATGTGTCCACATTTACATTACATTGCTATTGGCTCAGATTGGCGCGATAAGCACACAAAATTAACACAAAATAAGAGCTAGAGCAACGATGTTTTGGATCCAGACTTCTGTGATATGTCACTGCTACAAGAATATTTAAAAACTTTGCCCCGCCCACTTCCGCCCCCACAAAAGGCGAAAATCTGTGGCATCCACAATTTTGACGATACGAGAAAACTAAAAACGCAGAATCGTAGAAGATGACTATATCTTCTAGAGTGCAAAATCTGAACCAGATCGAATAATTATTATAGCCAGAATCAAGAAAACAATTTCATTCTTTCTCGCTCTGTCTCTCGCCACACCCCCTTCCGCCCCCGCAAAGGACGAAAATCTGGGGCATCCACAAATCTCAGAGACTATTAAGGCTAGAGTAACCAAATTTGGTATCTACACTCCTGTTAGATCTCACTATAAAACGTAAATCTCAAAACTTCGGCTCAACCCCTTCCAAAAGAAACAAATCAATTTGCAGTGGCTACGCAGCGCCCGACGATATGTTCAGACACGTTTTCTGTCTCTCCCGCACGCACACATTGTCGCTCAATGTAGCCATACTGACTATGTATCGGGTATAAATGTAGAGTTGCGGTCGCCGCAGCATCTCACAACGTTCCCCCTCGTTTATACTGCGAAGACCCGGCTCGAAGGACCTACGCTAATATCGAGCCGTAGTTATCCAACGAAGAGTATGGGCGGTATTGTAGAATAACTCCAAGCAGTCGTCGTATTAAGAATTGCAGGTAGTGTCGATAAGTGCATATATATGTCGTATATTTCTGTGATTCGTGTAGTATATAGGGCGGTTGAAACGGGGAACTTAACTGCCTCTAGCTTAAATGCTAAGAAAATATCGAGCGCCGTGCGGATAGCAAGAGCGCACAAAGCCGAGAAAACGAGAGCGAGCCAGAGGGCGATGTAACTGGCGCTAATAGCGGTACCCAGCAGCGATAACAGGCTTTTAACATAGAATACTAAAAGCGCGGTTGCCCTGTTACAGCTGTTCCCCACTTATAAAAATGTACTAATACTAAGTGTTCGACAGTCCAGGTTCAACCGGAACTGGAATTCCTGTGTGTAAAACGGATTCTTCCCGCTTTTACTATATTCATTACTTGCTCGTATATTCCACCTTCTTCGGCTATCTCTATTTATGAGCAGCATTAGCCCGCTTTAACCGCTGTTTCATCTGCGCTATCAGATAAAGATCATATGATAGTTCTTGGTGACTTCAACTTGCCAGGAACTGTTTGGTCTTCGGTAAACGAGTATAGTAACCTAGTGCCCATGTCACGACATGACTTTGTTGACGGCTTACTTAACCTGTCCTTGTCTCAAGTCAACCATGTGAAAAATTCCTTGGGTCGATTGCTTGATCTGTGCTTTGTATCGGATCCAACCTTAGTGTTGTTAACCCGAGCCCTTCCGCTCACTATACCTGAAGACGCCTACCATCCTACTTTCGAAGTGTCGCTAGATATAGGACCAACTGTATTTGATCGGTCGAGTAGGCCACTTGGACGATTCCGTTGCTTTCGTAAAGCCGAGTTTACGAAGCTTAATAATCTAATTAGGGATTTTGATTGGTCCACTTTGTTCTTGTGCACTGATGTCATAAAGGGCACAAACATTTTTTACAATGATCTTGGCACATTTTTTGATTCTTGTGTCCCGCTTTCTTGCCCGATTAAATCTGAAAAACCCCCTTAGTTTACCAAAGAGTTATCCAGCCTAAAAAAATTAAAATCAAGACTTTATAAAAAATTTCACGAAGTTGGTTCTCACTCTCGCTATGTAACAGCTCGGTCAAACTTTTCAGTTCTCAGTGCACAATGCTATAAGAACTACCTATCTCGATGGAGGATACGTTTTTCTCAGGACCCTAAACAGTTTTACTGCTTCGTAACCAGTAAGCGTACAATGTCCGCACACACATCCTCGCGATCATTTTGTAATACGTCGGCAAATAATGATCAGGCAATTGCCGATCTTTTTGCCCAATTTTTTAAAACCACCTATTCTGAGGAAAGCTTCTCTGGTCATCCGTACCCATACGGTTTACCGAGGTCGAACGGCATTTTTAGTCCCTTGTTAAATGAATGTTCTTTACTTCATGATCTTCGACTAGTAAAGCCGGTGTTTTCACCGGGTCCAGACGGGGTTCCAGGTTGTGTATTTAGGTACTGCTACTCTTCACCCTGTCCATCGATTCTTCTTGCTTCCCCCCGATCTGGAAATAATCGTTTATAATTCCTCTCCATAAAAAAGGTAGCAAGTCTGACGCAAAAAATTATAGAGGTATATCAAAGTTATCCACTGTTCCCAAAATGTTTGAGAAGGTTCTAACGCCGCACTTGCAACATCTCTGCAAGTTATTTATATCTCCAACTCAGCATGGATTTATAAGGCGGCGATCAACCACCACGAACTTTTCAGAGTTGACCTCTTTCATTATTAAAAGCTTTCAAGGTAACTTACAGACGGATGTTATTTACACCGACTTTAGTAAAGCATTCGGCTCTGTAAACCATTCCCTTTTAGCGCATAAACTTGACCTTATAAGATTTCCGCCCAACCTCCTGAGACGGATTACTTGCTATCTTTGTCCCAGGTCTCAAAGAGTCCTCTTCAAAAACTCCTTCTCTTTGCCACTAAATGTTTCTTCGGGAGTACCACAGGGCAGCAATCTAGGCCCCTTACTCTTCACACTCCTTATTAATGACCTGCCTTCTGTATTAACATACTCTCGAGTACTTATGTATGCGGATGATGTTAAACTCTGTGTCCAGTACAAGGACATTTCATTTCATTCTCGCTTGCAATCCGATCTCAATAGCTTTCAGTCATGGTGTTGTGCAAACTTGTTACACCTTAATGCCTCGAAAGGCAAAGTTATGACATTTCATCGTTCTAGCCCTTTGTTGGCTCCCTACACCCTATTTGGTGGTTCTCTTGAGAGAATTACCCTGGTGGATGATCTGGGTGTTATGTTAGACCCCAAGTTAAAGTTTTCCGAACACATTTCTACCATGGTAAATAAGGCCATGGGCGTGCTTGGGTTTATAAAGAGGTGGTCAAAGGAATTTGACGACCCCTATATAACAAAGACTCTCTATACCTCGCCCTGATCTGTTGAGACGCATAAACTTCACGATTCCTATTAGACTGACTAAAAATTTTATACCGTTTTTCCTTCCACTTTGTAGATCGAATTATTCCTTGCATGAACCGTCTAGGGTCTTATGCTCGGATTATAATTCCCTCTACCATATTATCTCCACTACTAATTCTCTTCCTCTTATTAAATCATTAATCCTTACACACCTTTCTAGTAATTAGTAATTGTAGTGGTATTGTATTTTGAATGCATGCCTGGTTCTCTCAGTAACTTTAATGCTAATTTTCCTCGAATATTAGTCTAACAGCTATCTTGCCTGCATGCTCGCGTAACAGCTTTCTGCTGGTTTCAGACGGGCCACTTGACGGTGTAGTAATTGCATCGCCTCTTGCAAGATGCAGTCATTGCATGTCAACGTCCAAGATAGAAAACAGTATTAAACTGAAATGTTATTACTGTGCCATTGAAGGTCATCACTGTATATTAAAAGTAGGTTTGATTCTTGATTTTAACATGTTTTCAAATTCGCAAACTAGTGGTTTACCATATGTTGTACGTACCTGATTAATATCGCAGCAGAACTCCGTTTGACTTTCATCAAGTAGAAAGCTGCAACGCTCTTTTAACAAATTTAAGCCATCGTTAGGCATTGCTTTCGCTGTCCCATTATAGGAACAGTATTGATTATGATTAAAGGCATCAGTATTACATACTCCAAACCATACACAGTCCTAGAAGGAAAACATTAAAAAAAAAACCAAAATTAAAAAGAGCATACCTAAAAAAATATATTACATTATTTAATTACTAAATTAATTAATTAATTAATTGCTTACACAGTGCTTACTTCCCTGCGACCAGGTCGGCCTGTCCCGAGGTTCAGTCAGGCATGTGGGCTCAAAAAAATGTTTATAGGGCACAGACTCTTACGTAGAGCTAAGACCCTTGATATTTTTATGATTGATTTCAACTAAAACGTCCATTATTACCGGAAAATTAAAAGTTATATATAACTATATAACTATAATACTAGCTTTAACATGTCTCTGTCTCGATTTGTCGAGATTTTGTCGAAGCCTCGCTTACAGAAGCACACAAGCCAGCCCATCAGCCAATTGGCTGAAGAAGGTAAAGTTGGCCTCGGCAGTGCTACCTGATTTCACATTGGAGCAGAAAAAGGCTCGTCAAACAAAAAGGCAGCGCTCGCAAGAGACGCCTGGACCAGCTGTAAAACGCTCCATAGTACGTGTGCTTTGCGCAGATAACCAAGGAGAGGACGCTGAGAGGCGTACTCGACAGAGGCAGCGCTGATGGGAAGATACCCAGGAGCCAGTGCGTGAACCCCTGCTTCGAGCTCATTGAAAAAGATCCCGCCACCGCAATATCACAATTATAGCCTGCGAAGACTAGAAGCTCGTCGCAATGGACTGGAGCGGGGTGCCCAATAGACCGAGGGCGAGACCGAGGCTAGAGCGCATCCTCAATATGTTGCACAGGTGCAACTGGAAGGTAGTCAAAGTTGAGACGACGCAATTTCCGACTAACCAGGCTGTGCTCGTGCTCAACAAAGAGTCACTAGCCCCGATAGAGGAAGCAAAAATCGAGCTGACCTTCGACTTCAGCTCAGTCACCATCAAGGTGTACAAGTCGGACGCAGCGACCAAGGCACGTCCTGTCGACAACCCAGTCGAGCAGGACGTTCCCTCGGAGATCGAAGCTCTCGATGACCAGCTAGAGCCGGCCCAAGAAGGCTACTCTTCGGACACGGAGCTAATGCTGGACTTCGAGTCCATGTGCCGAACGAGGGTCTCTCTCGACATTACAGTAGTGGAGAACTTTGAAGATGTTCCTAATAGTACTTCAAACCAATCGCCACTACTGTAAAGCAGCATCTGCTGGCCTTATACTCCGCTTGGATGCGAGCAGAGCCGGCGTAGTCCTAATCTAGGAGCCTTGCGTAGTGGGAAGCAAGATCTGTGGATTACCGACAAAGGAGTACAAGCTATTGTAGGCCAAAACGAAGGTAAAATCCGTACCTGCATTCTTCTTCCATAACTTTAGAAACTGTGACACCTGTGTGGCGTGCCTTGAGGTGTAAAGGATACACCTAAGACTGATGTCATCCTATATGGATCAGGATGAATGGGCTCCTCCAAGATACCTCGTTCGCAAGCTATAGCGAGAGATCAGACATAGGCCTATTGGGGGAGCTCGGACACAAATGTATGGGTGAGTCACTCTTCAGCTTTATCCTTAACTCTAATCCAACGATTTGTAATCGGGACAACGATTCATTGTACTCACCGTAGTGTCTCACACTCACTGTCAGACATTGGTCAAGAATTGAAAAGTCCATGAGGACCACTGATTCTCTGACCACAGGTACATTGAGACAATACTATCTCTGGAGAGCCCAAAACCAACTGACTATATCAACCCCAGGAAAGCCAACTGGGACAAATATAATACAGCCCTGGAGAAACTACTCCCCTCTTAAGCCCCAATATGCCCGGAAGATGCAGAACTATCTTTGTTCGGATCACCAGCCGTTAATAGCTCATAAGTCACTTCTCTCTTAAGGTTTCTGTTATCGCGCTCATTCTATGTACGCACTCAGTGCAAACACGCACACACTTATGTAATCTTATCTTATGGGTCACTGCTTTGACCCTTCCTCTTCGTTCCTCTTCGAGGGAAACGCCTAGAGGCCATGACCTCTAACTAAAACACAAAAACAATAACAATGTCATTTCTCCGGGTGCACAATCATCGAGCCGGCACATCTCCCCAGAGAAGGCTCGGTAACCTCGATGGAATTCTCACAAAACGGAACATAATCTGGGCAGGAAACCGCTTCAATCCGTTCAAGCCGTCAGGTCCGGACTGCGGACCAGGTACTTCTTCAGGCTCCCTGATCACTGTAGTGTCTTCTAATCGGAGGTCAGATCAATCAAGGAACCTCTGAAATGCTTTCATTTCAGTTGCCGTTATGTCAGCTCGTATAAACATTTATAGCGACAGCCAAGCTGCGATCAAATCGCTAAATGCCACTTCCTTGCAGTCGGTCACCGTGCCAGACTGCCACTGATTTCTTTACGAGATGGCTCAGCAATTTGCTATCAGCTTTATATAGGTCCTAGGCCACCAGGAGGGCAATTGTATAGCAGACGAGTAGGCCAGATCTGGTACTACAACCCAACTTCTTCAAGACAAGGAGTATACAAGAGTCTACAGGACCAATACAAGCGACTAAAAGACGATAGGTTGCAATTAGAACCACGATTTCGCATAACTCTGCAAACATGGCGGCTTTAGACACCATGTCTCACAATGCAGGAAAGGGAAGATCCCCAGCGGTCTATTGACGGGCTTATAAGAAATCTGGACTGGCTGATCGTTTCGCTGCAGTCGGCTGGGTCTACAAACTCTGAGTAGCGACCTTGCAAAAGAATGGTAGCCGAGCTTAGCTTGATGTTTTGCCTTTTATTTTAGTATCGCAGCTTTTAAAAGTTTGATGGTTAAGTCTCTTTGGATATTCTCATTACGGAGGTGCCATTCTGGACTGTGCTCGCTGGATAATGTCCACGTTGCTTCTGCTTGCGTTGCCCCATAGCTCTGAGTCAAAGTCTAGATAGGTTTCAGCACGTAGTTTTCAGGAGGACTTTATAGTCTAAGATTAAGGGAAAGCGAGCGATTAGTGGACAAGTAGTAAAAGAGTAAAAGTAATATGATTGCATTTTTTTTTCCTTGTATGCGCCGATCTGATGGTGTGTCTTTACTGGTGCATCTGGAGCGATTAAGAATCGCGGTGTCATCGGTAAGCGTGGGAGTTTTTACCTGTTTATTTATAGGGATATTAGCCGCGTACAAGACGGTTAAGAGACAAGAGAGGAGGATGTTTTTTGGTACATAAGATCTCTTAGCTAGACTCAGTCAGTTCCCGTTCTTCAAATGCAGTACGCATTTCTGATGTGATGCGGCTGACCTGCTTAACCATGCTTTTCTCGAAAGACGAGCTGGTGCGATTCTACTATGTTGCTGGTTTGGATGTATGGGCTGATGCGCAGGAGGAGGACTTTTTTAAAAAGCTTTGAAAGACAAGTAAGCAGGCTTATTGGTCTGTACGACGATGACTTTTACCGGCTTAGTAATCATCACTGGTTATGAATTATTGGACTGTATAATCTTTTAATATATTGTGCTTATTTCTTTTCATATATTGGTTATTTAATATGGGTGGTTATGTTAGACATGTATATGAATGATGAGGCGGTATAAACTATGCGTGCGGTTGGGTTCATCTAGAGATTTCGACTAACTTCCACTCCACAAAAGAAGTCGATCCAAAAGGGAATTGAAAGATCAGGCGGTGCGACGGTCCAATGCAAAACGGTACACATCGTTGTATGCGTGTGCAGCTGCGGGCTTTAGCTATACGTGTGATAACATTACAGCTATGTTTTGGACACGAGCAATAACAACACAGCTATGCGCGTAAAAATAGTTACCTAAGCGGTGCAATACACTCATGAGCGTATGAATAGGGCAGTTGTAGTATACATGAACATTGAACTACAAAACTACGAGGCTCATTTCTCAACAATCACTATAATTGACTTCTGCTATTTTTGGGGAGAGTACCTAAGTCTAGTAATAGCATTGAAAAGCTGGCTATGATAATTTTCGCAGGTGATTTTCGGGGCTTTTAAGATTTCGGTTGTCCGAAATTTAATGGGCTCTGAAGGTACTTGTAAAGTTTCACATAATGACGATGCGAGCACAAATGCGTGAGTGTGTTAGTGGCAGGTTTAAGCTAAACACATTTAGCAAATTAGCTGCAAACGTACTTTATATATCTTCATCACTGCGGAACCAGTTTTGTGGTTGGTGACAGTTTCTCTATGTAGCGACGTTGGGCGTCTTCTTCTTTTCTTTTTAGAGCATTGGTAAAATTCCCGTTTTCACCACCAACTTTTAGCAGTTGCTTTGAAGATAGCGATCTGTACGACTTTCGCAATCGTCGCTTTTTATATAAGTACCTTTCATATAAGTGTAATTTTTCAATACTTGGCGGTATAAAATGTGTTTTTGTTTGTTGACACGGAAACACTCAATATTCCGTTCCCGCTCTTACCATCTTCAGTTGATCTTAACCCCCTGTCGATGTTGCCCAATTCCCACCATATCCGTCTTCTGCTACGTCCAGCTATTCGAAAGCAGTCTTCCGATTCTTCTCTTTTGATGTACCCTGAAAGCGAATGAAAGGATGCAATTCGTATTCAATACAGCAATTGTATTGAAACGCTGCTCGATCTAAATCAACGCTTTAAGAAGTAAAGCTTCTTGCGCGTCGAATGTTATCTTGTTTTTGAACTCTATGTTGAGCTTGAAGATTTCTTCCGCTCTTGTGTTTGAAAGGCACGAACGCGAAAAATGTTCTTAAATGTCGCTAATTTATAGCGAACAAATTTTAGATGACTCTGTGAACTTTTCTCCGCTTCTAATGCACGTACATATATGCGCCAGTGTGCATTCGTCCCAAATGATGATTTTCGATGCTGAAAATATTACATGAAGGTTCCTCAATATTTTGAAGATTTAACGGTAATGTTAATGCTGAATGAGCCGTACGGCATCCGTCTAACAATGTGGCTGCTATTCCAGACGAAGCAACTGCAGTGGCTAAAACTATTCACATGAGGAATATCTTACCAGTTCCACCAGGGGCATC